CTCCACGGGGCTGGGCACAGTGCTGGGCTCTGGTCCCTGACTAACACATCCTACAGCGGCGAGGCATGAAGGGCAAGGCTCGCAAGCTCTTCTACAAAGCCATCGTTCGAGGCAAGGAGATGATCCGAATTGGGGACTGTGCAGTCTTCCTGTCGGCTGGCCGCCCCAACCTACCCTACATTGGCCGGATCCAGAGCATGTGGGAGTCATGGGGCAACAACATGGTGGTTCGTGTGAAGTGGTTTTACCATCCAGAAGAGACCAGCCCGGGCAAACAGTTCCACGAGGGCCAGGTGAGCCTTTCCCTGCTGGGAACTGGGAGAGACCCTGGTACATAAAGTCAGACCCATGGTTGTTGAAAGGCAGAACCCATGGTTCTGTTGGTGTGCTAAAATACCCTGACAGAAAGCAACATAGGAGAGTAAGGGTTTTCTTTTAGCTGACGGTTCTACGTTACCGTCCATCTCTGTGGGGACAGCTGGTCATATCACATCCACAGCCGGGGCAGAGAGTATGAATGCATTCATGCTTAGTGCTCAGCTCGCTCCCTCTACTCAAACAGTCCAAGGTTCCCTGTGCAGGAATAGTGTTGCCCACAGTGGGCTGGGTCTTCGCACCTCAATTAACAAGATCAAGATAAAGCCCAGCAGAGGTACCCACACCCCAACCTTCCTAGAGGGCGCCGTATTGAGACTTTCTTCCCAGATAATTCTAGATTGTGTCAAATTGACGGTTAAAAACTAACCATCACACAGCTTGAGGCTGGGCATCTGGATACTAAGAACAGTGCCCCTACAAGTGAGGAGGTTGAGTCCAAGGGAGCTTGTATAGTCAGCCAGAGATCTCAGATGGAGGTAAAACAAGGCTCAGACTTAACCCTATCCCCTCATCTATCCCCCCAGCACTGGGACCAGAAGTCGGGGCGCAGTCTCCCTGCAGCCCTGCGGGCCTCCAGCCAGAGGAAGGACTTTATGGAGGTAAGAAGGCAGCGGCGGGCTGGTGCTGGGGTATCGGCTCTGTCCAGATGGGCTGGACTGTAAACTTTCTGCTCTGCCCCGCCAAGTCTCTCCCTCTTGTGTCTGTGGTTCTGAGCTACTGAGGTCCCTTTCTCTGTCCCACCTGCTCCCTGAATCTGCACATCTGTCCCTCTTCTCTTCTGTTGTTCCTCTCATTTTTATTTCTTTTCTGTGTGTCTGCATATATGAAAGTTCACACCCATGGTGGGGAGTGTGCGTGTGGGTGTGGGCGTGGGTGGAGACCCAGGGTCAGCACTGGGAGTCTTCCTTGATCGTCAAACCCAGGTCTTACTAGCCAGCTTGCTCCAGAGGTCCCCTGTCTCTGTCTTCTGAGGCTGAAATTACAGGTGGGCTGACACATCCACCTGCTGCTTCTGTAAGTTCTGGAGATCTAAACTTGGGTCCTCATAACTTGCTGCTTGTAAGATGAGGACCTTAACCCAAGGAGTCTGCACAGGCCATGTGTCCATTCTTACCTTGGGGCACTGTCTCCTCTTGCCATCTCTGTTTCTCTCTGCTCTCTTCATCTCCTGTGGTCTCTGTCTCTCTATCATTGTCTCTTGGTCTCTCTCAGTCTCAGTCTCTCCGACTCTTGCTCTGTCTCTTTTCGTTTCCATCTTTTTCCATCTCTATCGCCATATCTCGGCCTCCAGGTCTGTACCCTTAAAGCATCCCGGGGTCCCCCTGATCCAGAAGGGTTCCCTCCAGTCCCTAACACCGACACTGTGTCCCCGCAGCGTGCCCTGTACCAGTCCTCCCATGTGGATGAGAACGACGTTCAGACAGTGTCCCACAAGTGCCTGGTGGTGGGCCTGGAGCAGTATGAGCAGATGCTAAAGACCAAGAAGTACCAGGACAGCGAGGGCCTGTACTACCTCGCGGGCACTTATGAGCCCACCACAGGCATGATCTTCTCTACAGATGGCGTGCCTGTGCTCTGCTGAGTGCCCCCTACCCAGCGGGGCCCAGAGAGACCCCTCCCCACCACTGCCATGGCGCGGGACCATGTGTGTTGTGTGCATGCCAGTGTGCTCGTGGGCGTGTGCATGTGACCAGGTGGACGCCCCAGGCAAGTGCGAGTGTGTACATGTGTGTGCCCGTATGCATGCACGTGTGTGCGCACATGTGCACACATCTCTAGACCCTTTCTGGTCATCCCCTGGTGCCCTCATGCTGAGACACCTCCCCCCACCCCCACCCCCCACATCCAGCTATCAGGGTCCGGCTCTGCTGTCCCGTCAGGGTCATCTCAGAGGGGACTTCCCTCCAGCACTTTGTATGCGCTTAATGAGGCTGCCCTCCGAGCTCTGGGCCTGTGTACTTTGTTTTTGTGGATGGGGTGAGGGAGAGTTCCAAGGACCCAAACCGATGCTTGGTATAGAGTTCAGCCACACCCAGCACGGAGCCCATCGAAGGCCTTCCACCATGGGCCGGAGGGCCCCAACGCCAGCCAGCTTCACCAATCACTGGGCATCTGGGTGCCTGCATGCCCGGCCTCCACCCTCTCAGGACAGCCTGGACTTGGGGAACAAGGCAGGGGAGGGCAGCCCAGGAGCATCACCATACCTGGTGGGCCCCCCAGCCCAGACCCTTACACTACAGAAAACCCCAATGGTGCTGAAACCCGCGCCCACGCCCGGCACGGCCCGCCCGGCCCCCTCCACCAGGAGGATCCGAAAGGTTACCTGTACAGTTTATTGTAGCCTGCCCCTGTATCATACACCTTTAAATGGAGTCAACTTTTTAATTATATATATAAAGATAAATATATATAAATATATATATAAACTTTTTAAAACTGTGAAAAATAGCTATGAAATTATAAAAAAAAACACATTCTGACGTGCAGAATATTATTTTTTATTTCCTGTTAGATTGTGAGTGTCTAGCACCGGCTTTATGCCTCCCCCCAACTCCCCTGCACCCTCACCCCTGCCCATGTGTACTGTATGTGCCCCCAAATGGACGAGAGATGGAGATAGACAGAGGGGCCCCAAACCCAGCCCCCAGCTCAGCCCGAAGCACTTAACCAGCCCCCCTGTGCCTGCCAGACCCCAGTGGGGTCCCCGGAGGCTTTGAGCAGACAATCTTGAAGGAAGGAAAAGCCAGACTTCGGTTTTGTTTTGTTTTGTTTTGGGGGGGGTAATTACTGTTTCCTGATTTTTTTTTTAACATTTCTTTTGGAATTTTGTTTGTTGGCAAATTCTGTGTGATCTTTTTCATAAAAAAAAAAAAAAGAAAAGAAAGAAAAGAAAAAATTTAATTGGAAAAATACTATGGCTTGGAGTGGCTTATTTGGGAGCCTGGGATGGTGGGGTCGGTTTGGAGGAGCCCCACATGCCAGGGGCAAAAGCCAGGGTGCACCCTGGAGCTGCTCTACTAGGCACAGAGATGAATGGGCTAGGTCAAGCATTTCAGAAAGTTCTGGAAGCCGGGATGGTCTGTCTTGTTTAAAATTCAAGAGCTAGGGGCTGGAGAGCTGGCTCAATCATTATGAGCACTTGTTGCCCTTGCGGAAGGTCCAGACTCAGTACCCAGCACCCACATGGCAGGTCACAACTGTATGTAACTCAGTTCCAAGGGACCTGACACCTTGTTCTGACCAGGGATCACTTGGTGCACAGATATACATGCAGGCAAAGTAAATCTTGAAAAAAAAAATTAAGAGCTACAGGATGGAGAGTTTGTCGGTAAATTGCCCGAGTTCCATCCCAGGAAAGGAACAAGCATGGTGGTGCCCTCAGGATCGCAGGGCAGGGAAGGGAGGGCAGCCTCCATGGCTAGCCACTCCAGCCAAATAAGCAAGCAGGATGGCCTGCGGCCTGTGGGCTCAAGCCCACATATGGATGGGTCACGGTAACAGTTCTGCGCCCTGTAGAAGCTGGATTGACGGACTGGATGCTGGCCATTGCCAACCCCAAGTGTGAATCTGCATAGATAGCTACAGCCCTCATTCTGGGCTTTCCTACATCACAGCGGGGGAAGGGGGTGGGGTGGGGGTGGGGGGTGACAAGTGTTAGGTTGAGCAGGGAGACTGAGTAACGTGGTGAATGGGAAGAGTCACCCTGTTGTCATCTGGTGGTCCCTGTGACATCACCACCATCCAGGTCTTGATTCATAAAGGCTGCCCAGCTAGGACCCACAAGGGTTGCACACCATGTGAGTGCCCGAGGCTATAGGACTGAGGTGGCCCTCCTCCAACGCCCCATTTTCCCAGCCCATTCCTTGGGTCTCCAGGAACGGAGCAGTGAAAGGATGCTTCCGGTCTGGGAAGGTGGCTCAGTGAGTGCTAGACAAGCGTAAGGACTGAGTTCAAATCCCCAGAACTCAAAAAAAAAAAAATGAGTCCAGTACGGCCAGTGGGTGGTGGTGGGCGGATTCCAGGAGCTTGCTGGCCAACCAGTCTAGCCTAAAATGTTGAGGGGCAGCTGTGGTGAGACTAGATAAGGAAGGCAGAGGGGATGTGACAGTAGATGTTGGGGGTCTTCCTCTGGCCTCTGCACATAGAGAGAGGGAGGGAGGGAGGGAGGGAGAGAGAGACAGAGACAGAGAGAGACAGAGACAGAGAGAGAGAGAGACAGAGACAGAGACAGAGAGAGAGTCCAAATCATCATCAGAGCTGGCGAGACTGCAGCAGGAAGACTCCATTCCTGAGCAACCCGCCTCCTGGACCGAATGACTCCCTTCTGAGCTCTTCTTCCAATGCACCAGATGGGAATCCTCATGGGGCCAATGGTCACTAGGGGCCAACGCAAGCTCCAGATGGTCAGCACTAGGCACGAAGAACAGGCCCCTGACCAACCATCCGTTCTAAAAACACCTAGCTCAGGGCAGGTGGGGCTGCTTCATAGGTGGGACCACAAAGGTCTCAGCATTGTGGAGAAGACTTAATCCACCAGGGCCCCATTTTAATCTCCCCACCCTACCCCCAGTGGCTCAGTTCCCCCCACTCCCCCCACAAACACCTCATGAGGGACAGCAGTGGGCAGTCTCTGCCATCTTTAATGGCCAGTGCGGTAGTCAGAGGACACATAGGTAGATGGGACACAGCAGGGGTTGGTACAGGGTGGTCACAGCTGGGGCCAGAGTGTGCAGAGAGGCAAGTGTCCTGGCTCAGCAAAAGCCATCTTTGGCCAGAGGCCCCACAGCCAACCCCACCACCCAGTGACCCCACTCCCCAGCTCACTGCCATTTGCCAGGGTTTCAAGTGGGTCATGTTACTACTTGATTCTCAATGGACAGGGGCGGGGTGGCCTAGGTCAAGAGTGGATCTTGGCTGTCCCTGCATTATGGATAGGTTGAGTGGCGCTGGGGAGGAAATGGGAGGACCTCCCTGTTAAGCATGACCCTTAGCCTGTGCTCTAGGGGGTTGCGTGGGCGAAGTCCTCCACCTCAGGTGGGTACACCCAGGTCAGCTCTGCAGCTATGACTACGGGAAGCCTGTGTAGACCCAGGAATGAGTTTTCCACACTTAATGCTCTCTCTCTCTCTCTCTCTCTCTCTCTCTCTCTCTCTCTCTCTCTCTCTCTCTCTCTCTCTCTCTCTGTGTGTGTGTGTGTGTGTGTGTGTGTGTGTGAAGTGTCTAAGAAGGGGAGAAAATGGGACCAGGGACTGTCCCTTTCCTTCAAGATTTCTAACACTCATGAGGATGTACCACCTACCCAATAAGTGAAAACGACATTGAAGACCATGGGACCTTTGCAGCAGACCCCACAGTGGGGTCACAGGGAAGGGAGTCACTCAGACTTGTGGTCAGCCATTCTGGATGGCTTTGAGTCTGAATAACCCCATCATGCTGACAGGACAAATGTTGCGCCTCTGGACATAGAGGATGAAAGGCAGGTGTCTGACCAAACACAGAACACATGGGTAGGCGGTGTCCAGGGTGGTGAAGACATGTTCCAACTGCAGTGGACAGCTGGAACGAAGTGGTGAGGTGGCTTTAGTGGCTTAGGAGGCGGCCAGGACCCCGCAGGCACTGAGGCAAGGGTGGGGAGGGTCCTCAGGCCTTGGGGTGGCTGGCCTGAGCAGCCCTCCCTGGGCAGTGGGCAGGGTCAGGTGGGTCTGGCTCAGGGGCCGACGGGGATGGAGTCATTGGCGGTGGCTGTTTGGAAGCAGCTGCTGTGGGCATCACGGGTGAGGCTGTAGGTGCAGTAGGCAACAGCAGAGCCCAGGGTCAGCCCCGACATATAGGACACAGTCATGGTGTTTCCTGTGGGCAAGAGTGACCTGACCTGAGTAAGGGGCGAAGAGCAGCCATGGGAGCCGAGGCCACACTGTGCTGGACAATTTCTGTGGCCGTGGCTTCTCGGGTGTGCACTGTGGTGACAACTGTCAGTGCCTAAGAGCCTGTGACATCCTGTGTTAAATACTCCTCCCCTAGAAACCCACTGTCTCAATTTTGGGTCTTTTAGGAGTGATCTCACTGGAGTCCCTGAGGTCTTGCCTACTTCTCTGCCCTTCTCTTCCCTTCCTTCTTCATTCTCTTCCTTCTCTCCATCCCTCCCCTCCCTCCCTCCCCTCTCTCTCTCTTCTTTTTCTTTCTTTCTTTCTTTCTTTCTTTCTTTCTTTCTTTCTTTCTTTCTTTCTTTCTTTCTTTCTTTCTTTCTTTCTTTCTTTCTTTCTTTCTTTCTTTCTTTCTTTCTTTCCAGTCTTAGAGATAGAATGTGTAGCCTTTCACAAGCTAAGCCAATTATCTACCACTGAGCCACACCCCAGCCCCTCACTGGGGGATTCTAGGCAGGTGCTCTACCACTGAGCCACACCCCAGTCCCTTACTGGGGGGATTCTAGGCAGGGGTTCTACCACGGAGCTACATTTTCTGGCCTCTTTTTACTTTTTTTATTTTGAAAGCGTTCTCATTTACCTCAAATCAGGAATCCTCCTGCCTTAGCCTCCTGAGGAGCTAGATGACAGGCCTGTACCCATCAGGCCTGGCTTCTTTCCATTTTTATCTATTGCCTCCTGCCTCCAGCTGTCTCCTTCTTGGGGACAATTCAGTATGCCCCCACATCTGACCTGGATGCCCCTTCCTTCACTTCCCTATCAGTCCATGGCAATACCAGCCTCACCTTCAGCAGGAGGCCCCAAAACTGGAAGTTTGACTCTCTTAGACCTCATCTCTCCATCTATCAGCTAACCCTGAGAACCACTGAGACAGGTTCTAATACCAGCCCTTCCCCCACCTCCACACAAGCCTGTCCTCAGGCCTGGACCACTGCAGACGTTTTTGAATAACCTTCTCATCCCTGTCTGCTCCCGCTCTATCCACCTGGCCTCCACCTGGCCTCACTGGGAGATCAAAGGCAGGTGCTCGGGACCTTTGCACATATGACTCCTTCTGCTTGGATGCCATTTCTGGAAGCTTCCTGTACCTGTCTCCCTCACTTCTTCCTCCAGGATTTTGCTCAAAAGCCACCTCCTCAGTAAAATCTTGCAAGATTGTTCACATTACACCATACCCCCCCAATCCCTGAATCTGCCCCCACTTCTCAAACTAACATAACTCCTAGGACTTACCACCGTGAAACATATCACATCTGTTTGTTATCTCTCTGTTTATTGGCTGTCTCCATCTCAGGACTGTAACCCTGCAAATGTGGGCAGCGTCATGTCTCCACTGCCCAGGAGAGTGCCAGACATACAGGCTCCCCAAGTAGTAGCAGAATGAGTGAGTGAATGAATGAAATAAAGACGTTACTTACAGATGTCCTCATACCTACAACTTCCTTGTCACTTAACCCTTGGGACCAAATATATTTTCTCACTCACTGGCTCCCCTTGGCTTCTCCAGGCCTCAGTTTCCTTTCTAGAAGGGCACTAGGCTATCAAAAGGGAGCCCTGGGTGTCCCTGAGGCCAGTGAGTCTTACCTGCCAGTTCCCGCTGCTTGGGGCTCACTTTACCGGCTGCCAAGATCATGGGCACACTGCCAAAGTAGCCATTGCTGATGCCCATTAGCAGCGAGAAGACACAGGGCCAGGCAGGGTGGCGGAGGGCAGGCATGCCACTGGGGTAGACACACAGGATGAAGAGGGGGATGAAGACCACACGAAGGCAAGAACAGGCCAGCAGATGAGTGCCCCGCCAGTCCACGGGTAAGGCCGCCAGGATCTGCAGGTAGCAGGGAGTGTGCGTCACCCACCGAGCCAGGAGCCTGCCTCCCTACCAGACACTCAAGCTACATACAGCCTGTCCCCCGGCACCTGTGGCTCCATCCAGCTCACTTTGCAAGGCCCTCCAAAGCATTGCATGTACTTTTTTCCCTCTTCAGTACTGGTGATGGGGGATGAGACCTGGAATGTGCTAGGCAAGCACTCTGCTGCTGAGCCACTCCCCCAACACCTCACTGGGGGGATTCTAGAACATTTCTGAGTGGGTGGTGGTGGGGTGGCTCAGTGGTCGAATGCTTGCCTGACAAGGGCAAGGCCCTGGGTCTCATCCTCCATACTCCATAAAACACAGTAACAGCAAGACTGGGCACAAAGAGACATGGCTCATCTGAGCTGCAGGGTGGCTGGGGTCCCATTCCACCTCTGACCACCAATCTACTTGTGTGACAGATGTGCTGCTCAGCTGGCAGCCTGTGCCTGAATCATCCTCAGAGGGATCCACTAGTGACCATGAGGCAGGAGAACTGGGGTTGATTCTAGCCTGAAATGCACTTGTCGCCAGAGAAACCAGGCAGGGGCTATACTCCACAGGTCAGGGTTAGAGATGCCGGTACTCCATGACTTCCACCCTCCCCACCTGGAACTCACATGAACCCTCAGTCTGGGGTTGCCCCAGAAAGACTAGAGCCTTCCTGGGACTCCCCAAAGCCACCCTGTGCCTCACCTTGCCCACAAAGTCTGACAGGTTGAACACAGCCATGACCAGGATGGGCAGCCACTCGCCCAGCACGCAGTGGCGGATCTCGGACTCCAGGCCAGGAAACAGGCACAGTGTAATGAAGTAGGTTACCGCAATGGACAGCATGTCGGCCCAGATGACCCGCGCCACAACGTACCGGTGCAACAGCAGGGCTAGGGGAATTGAGGCGTGTTAGAGGGTGGTGTTCATGGGTCCCCTGATGTCTCAAGCCTGGGTGACAGCCCCACAGTGCCTCATACTGACCTCTGAAGGTGGGCCAGTTTCGTTTGACTCGTGGCTGAGGCACATCAAAACGCATGTAGGCCCCACTGTTGCTGTGGGCCATCTCATGGGCTGGGCTGTCCTTCGGGGACCTGCTGCTGGACAGGGATGGAGTTTGGTGCTCCTGGGTAGAAGGGGATGATGGGAGTCATGGGCCAGGGACCCAAGGCAAATGGTATAGCCACAGTCATCCAGACATTCAATCAGCGCCTACTGTGTGCACTTCCTTATCAAGGGCCAATGCTTACCTGCCCTCTTTCCCTCCACCCAGCCTCCCTCCTCCGAGCCCTGAGGTGGGTGAGAGCGGAGGTGGTATGCAGCATATAACCACCAGAGGGCACTCTAGCTTTCCAGAACTGTGAATTGGCCTTCCCAGGCTACAGCCAACCACTCAATGGATGGGTATTGGGGCCACCCTTGGAGCACCCCTGAGATGTGATGGAAGGGAGTTCATCACAGGATTCCCTTGCCTTCCATCTATTGGACTTCTTTGGACCCCACTTTCATGGCCCTGGGGTTCTCCCCCATTAGGCTTTGGAGATCTGCTACACATCCTGGGCTCTTCTCTCTGGCCATAGCTAAAAAACCATCACCTCCCACTGTCCCAACAGGGTGTCCTAGCAGGTGGGTCACAGGAGCTGAAGAGAGTCTTGGGCCACAGATGTGAGATGCCACAGCTGGTGGAGGGTCACAGACTATCCATGGTGCTCTGGAAGGCTGAAACAGCCCACAGGATGGAATGTCTCAGAGTACAGAAGCAAGCCTGCAGCCTGAGATCATATTCAGACACCTGTGTGGGAGAATGAGGTCAGGCCAGGCCACCGCACTTACAAAGTGGATGTCTCCTGATGCAACATCGTGGTGCACTCGGTAACCTGCCCGGATGGGGCGGCTGTCGCGGGGCCGTGTGGTGTAGTAGAGTACAAATCGGCTGCGCCGCACCAGCAGGTGCAACAGGAAGCACAGCAGCTCCAGGCCCGCGGAGACCAGGAAGAAGATGATGGTGCTGGCCCGCTCATCTGGGAGCAGCAGTTTAGTGAGGATCCGGCTCAGAGAGATCATCACCCCTGCGGTGCCTGGAAGTGAGGCAGTGGCTACTGAGCATTCCCAAGGCCTCTCTCAACCAAGCCACCCCCTACCCTGACTCCATCCCATCCACCACCAGTCTTCCCTCACTGAGTTCTACCCACTCCATCCACCCGCTGCTCCAGTCCCAATCCACAGTACCTGGTCTACCGTCCTACCAGGCCCCACCCGCCATCCTGTCCAAGGCCCCAACTTCTCCCAGCCCCACCCTACTTTGCTGATCTCTGCCAGTTCCATCCTGTCCAAGGCCCCAACTTCTCTCCAAGTCCTCCCCCAACCCCTTGAAGCCCCTCACCCCTATGTCTTGTCTCCGGACCCCCAGCCCAGCTGAGCCTGATCTCACTAGCCCCACCCACTCCTAGACTCTACCCATACAGCCTGCTTCAGCTCCCCTTCCCCCAGGACTGCTGCTGCTCTCACCCCACCCCCCACCCCCGTCATTTCACACCATGGGCAGCATCACTGAGCTGGTGTCCTGCCCTGAGGTACTCCACAGGGAGGACACAAGGCCCTGCCTTCCTAGGCTTAATGGAGAGAGGCCACAGATAAGCCATGGAAACACACAACAGTGGTACAGGGTATACATTGTGGCAGAAGACGTGTCCAGAGGGGAAGGATCAGAGTAGCGTTCCCTGGGAGGGGACAGTTAAGCCAGGGGGTCTGCGGTACTGGAGAGCCAGGCACACAGACTGAGAGTGAGCACTCCAAGTGAATAACAGTCACAAGGGTGTGTGAAATACCGAAAGGTTCCCACCCTCACGCTCCCAGCAGGGGCCAGTTGGAGGAGGGTGTCAGGGTCAAGGCAGGCAGGACTGCTGCAGAGAGCAGGTAGAGTTTTGCTTAAGTTCAACCCACAGCTGCAGAGCAGTGTGGGGCAAGACTAGTCATGTCTGCCATGAGCTGAAGAAGATGGGCAGGGCTCTAAGTAAGTCTGTGTTGAGGGGCTCTTGGCTACCAAATCAGTACACCAACACCATCCTGATGGGCTAGCCACACTGATTCCACCACAAAATCTACTGGTTTGGGTTAGGAATGTGGCTCAGTTGGTAGAGTGCTTATTAAACATGTGTGATGTCCTGGGTTCTACTTCCAACCCTTGGTAAAGAGAGTGTGGTGGGGCTGGGCGGTGGTGGCACACTCCTTTAATCCCAGCACTCAGGAGGCAGAGCCAGGTGAATCTCTGTGAGTTCAAAGCCAGCCTGGTCTACAGAGTGAGTTCCAGGACAGGCACCAAAACTACACAGAGAAACCCTTGTCTCGAAAAAAACCAAAGAAGAAAAGAGAGAGAGAAAGAGACAGAGAGAGAGAGAGACAGACAGACAGACAGACAGACAGAGACAGAGAGAGAGAGACAGAGAGAGAGACAGACAGAGAGAGAGAGAGAGAGAGAGAGAGAGAGAGAGAGAGAGAGAGAGAGAGAGATGGCACATGCCTGGAATCTCAACACTTGGGAGTTGGAAACAAGAAGATCAGAAGTTCAAGGGCATCCTCAGCTGTATAATTTGAAGCCAGCCTGAGCTATACGAGACCCTCTCTCAAAACAACAACAACAAAAATCTGCTGGCTTGCAAAGCCACCTGTGTGCTGACCACCTTCCAGAAGTCAGCTCTAGGTGGTGTGGTTTGATGTTCCAGGCAATACATTGCAGAAGAAGCCGAGATTCGGAGAGCAGCCCCTGAGGATGATGGTTGGGCCCAGCTTCTTGCTGGGTTGTGACTAGCTACAGAATAGAGGGTGGGATGGGACACACTTGGAGTCCTCCTGAAGGGCATGTCCAGAGGTCTTTTGAGGTCTGGACATTGGGTAAATTTCAGACTCGTGCAAGGGTGCTGTGTATCAGAAAGGGGCATCTGGGATGTGGCTTGGCAGACAAAAGGGTTTAAGTAGCAGAGTGATAAGCAAGGGTGTCTGGTGGTGGTGGATAGGGGGAATTTGAGGAGGATTTGGTCCTGAGCGCACACACACACACAGACACACAATTTTGCAAATTTCTAAAATTGAAACACTCCCTCCTAAAGGAAGGAGGAAGGTTCAAAAGACTCAAGAAATAAAGATTAAAAGTCTAGCTGAGGGCTGGAGAGATGGCTCAGAGGTTAAGAGCACTGCTTGTTCTTCCAAAGGTCCTGAGTTCAATTCCCAGCAACCACATGGTGGCTCACAACCATCTGTAATGAGATCTGGCGCCCTCTTCTGGCCTGCAGGGATATGTTCAGGCAGAACTGTATACATAATAAATAAATCTTTAAAAAAAAAAAAAAAAAAAAAAGTCTAGCTGAACCACACAAGATTCTCAAGGCCCCTCCTGAAGGTTATCCAAGCAGTAACAATTGCTGTGGGGAGGAGAGTCTCCCGCCAGCAGCAGAGCTGCCTGCAGGCTGTGCCAGGAGCCCGGGCACACAGTTTTCCCCAGTTAACACCGGGCCTGGGGTGGGCTTCTCAGTGATGCTCCTGTAAGTCAGTCCTAACAAACCCATAGGTGCAGCAAAGCTAGACTGGGTGGCATGGGTTTTGGTATACCAATGGTGTCCTATCTGGAGTGAGCAGACATTTGATTACATCTCTCTGGAAAAAAAATCACACAATGGGTACGCAAATATCCCCACCTGAATACTCACTGGAGCTATGGCTCTCATGCTCCAAAGGAATTCCACACATAGGTGTGCACACGTGTCCCTCCCACCTATCGGTCCATCCCTTGCCATTGACAGTCACCATCCCCAATCCAGCATGTGTAGAGCTTTCTGGAACACTTCCCTAACTAGGACATGCCCAGTAGGCTTCCCAGACTGGTGCCCCCTTGGGGGTCTCAATACTCACTCTCTCCAGTCATCACCCCCTGCGTGTACCTCTTGGGCAGTAATCCTGTGTAGCCATAGAAGCTAGATTGCTGCACTTAAGAGAGAGAGGGAGGAAGTGGTCAGATATCATTTGACACAGAGGCAATATGAACCGCCCGTGCTATGTTGGCTCTGGAGGACAGGTGCTCAGAGGGCCTAACACTAGAGCGGTGGTGAGTTTAACACAGCCAGACAGCAACATGGGGAGGAAACAGTGTTGCCCTGAACATCGCACACAGAGCAGCCACTTCCCTGCCCCTGGGGTTCAAGGTCACTGACAAGTACTGTCTGATGCAAGAGGAGACGATACATGTCCCTTGCTGGATGAGACAGGGCAAACTTACTCTCAGCCTTTTTTTTCAATAGTAGTGATGGTAGAGGCTATCGGTTGAAATGGGGCTGTCAACCTAAATCTCTGAGTGGCTCTATGGAACACAGCTCCCGCCCCATTTCTGATGGGGTTGGACCATGTAGTAAAAACAAGGGAGAGCCGGGCGGTGGTGGCGCACGCCTTTAATCCCAGCACTCGGGAGGCAGAGGCAGGTGGATCTCTGTGAGTTCAAGGCCAGCCTGATCTCCAAAGTGAGTTCCAGGAAAGGCGCAAAGCTACACAGAGAAACCCTGTCTCGAAAAACCAAAAAAAAAAAAAAAAAAAAAAAAAAAAAGCAAGGGAGAGCTGAGTGTGTGGATGTACACGCGTAATGTCAATACTTGGGAGCTGGAGGCAGCAGGATTAGGGGTTCAAAGCCAGCCTGGACTGCTTGAGACTGTCTCAGTAAAAAAGAGGGAGTGAGCTTAGCTAGTACAAGAGGTTGCTTGGCATCCATGATGCCCTGGGTTCTGTGCCCAGCGCTGCATAATCTGGGTGTGGGGGTGCATGCTTGTGATCCTAGCATGAAGGAGGTAGAGACAGGAGGATCTGGAGTTCAAGAGAACCAGGGGGCTGCATTCCAAACCTGTGCCACATGAGAGTCCCCTTGGTGCCTATGTGTGCATGTGTGTGGTGTGTACACATGCTCTGGTGTATTCAGAGACACATGGCCAGCACCTGGACTGACTCACCTTGTAGAGTGTGTTACCTGTGCAACAGGGCCACAGAGCACTTAGGCTCAGGCCTTCTGGTGCATCCTGGCCCCACTCCCTACCTGTGCATCCAAAGGCCACAGTACCCACAGCGGCCAGGTTGATGGCGTAAGCCTGGTCGTGAGAGAAGAGCTGAAGCCACACATCACATATGCTGATAAAGAGCAAGGGACCCAAGGCGAGGAGGTAGCCTACAGGGAGCAGAGAAGTCGTGAGGGGCACGGTGAGCACCAGGTGGGCGCTCCTCGCCTCACCCCATTTTCCAGAGAGCTATGTCTCAGACACTGTGGCTACCTGTCCCCTAGAATATTAGGCAGGTAGAAGACTCCAGGAGAGTCTACAGGGAAATTCTGAGGGTTTTCTGGAGGAGTAGTCATCCGAGCTGAGCCTTGAAGCTGAAAGTCACTTTACAGGGGGGATCTAGGGCTCTAACTTTAGGGGTCACAAGAGCCTGTGGAAGCGTTTGCCATTGTGCTGGCAAGTGGCCTGATGCTGGCTTCCAAGAACAAAGCCCACAGTGGTCCTAGAAAAAGCACGTGTGGAGCTGGAGAGATCACTCAGCGGTTGGGAGCACTGGCTGCTCTTCCAGAGGACCTGGGTTCAATTCCCAGCACCTATATGTCAGCTCACAACTGTATGTAACTCTAGTTCCAGGGGATCTAACACCTTCACACCAATGTACATAAAATAAATTATTGAAAATAAGGAAAAAGCACGTGTTTCACAGACAAGGCTAGGAAGCTAGGTGGGCAGGTGCCATGGGCTGAGGCGCTTGGAGCCTCTGGGAGGGGACAGCATAGAGTAGCTTTGAATACCTGTGGTGATCCTAGTGTGCAGGTTCAACCTCTCCACCACAACGTTGTTTAGAAGCACAGCCGCCAATGCCACCAAGATATAGGTGAGGCTCATGTCGAACACAATGGAGGTCCCTGGATATAAGAGAGACAGGGACCCAGGGACTTTCAACCTCTGCACTCACCCCTGCAAGGGCTCTTCACTCTTCCCCAGGGGCTGATTGCTCAGCGTGAATCAGTGGCTACTCTGAGGAGAGGAGATTCACATACTTGACAGTTGTCCCTCAGCCTGCCAGGTTGGTCCCTGGGTAACTCAGCCTCCACACGTAGGTCCATAACCTACCTTTCTTCCCTGTTGAGGTTTAAATGTGAAATGTCCCCATGGGCTCACACGCTGGAACACTTGGTCCCCAGACGGTGATGCTGTTTGAGAAGGCTGCAGACCCTTTAGGGGGTGGAGCCTCACTGGAGGATGTCAGTCACCAGGGAGGGTCTTGGGATTTTACAGGGGGAACCACTTCCAGCTCACTCTCTGCTTCCGGAGTGTGACTGCAATGTGACCAGCCAGCCTCCCACTCCCTCCACCAAGCCTTCCCAGCCTTCTCTCCCAGGGTGGACAATATCCAGCAAACCATAAGTCAGAACAAGTTCCTCTCTCCCTTCAGTGGCTTTTGCCAGGCCTTTTTACCATAGCAACAAGAAAGTAACAACTACATTCTCCAGATAAAGTCAATGCCACAGTTACTCATCCACCCAGTTTGGTACAGTTCCCTGCTGGGTCCCCAAAAACCACATTCAAAGTTCTCTCCATACAACATCTCCAAGCAGGATCCCACCCCTTGGGATTCCCAGAAGGCCCTGGTCCAGGCAGAGGGTACTGAGCTGCCTTCGAGGGCAATGTAGATGGCAGAGAGACCCACCTGGGTACTTGTGGTGAAGATAGTCCACATCAGTGATAAAGCTGTTGTATGGCAGTAGGAAGCCCACGCCAGCCAGCAGCATGGCAAAGTAGATGGCATGGTAGCGGTCATCTGGCACAGGCTCCTCTATCGCTAAGTGGGGAGACACCAGGAGAGACTAGTGAGCACACTCAGGCTGTGGCCAGTGCACCAGGGCTGCCATCTGCCACCACCACAGCCACTGTTGACGACCAGGGCCCCAGCCATCCACATCACTATCTTTAAGGCCACAAACATCACAGCCATAATGATGCCTAATCTATTTATTTATTTTTCAATGTGTGTGTGTGTGTGTGTGTGTGTGTGTGTGTGTGTGTGTGTGCGCGCACAGAAACAGAGGGCATCCCATTTCCTAAAGTTAAAGTTACAAGCAGTTGTGAGCCACCTGATGTGGGTGCTGGAAACTGAACTTGGGTCCTCTGGAAGAGCAGAAAAGACTCTTAAACTCTGAGCCATCTCTCCAGCCCTTTAATTTTTTTTTAATTTAAATTTTAGCCAGGTGTGGTGACACATGTCTTTAATCCCAGCACTCTGGAGGTAGAGGCAGGTGGATTACAGATGTGCACTACTGTGCTGTTTTGTTTTTTTTTTTTTTTATGAGTTCTGGGGTTTGAACTCATATCCTCATACTTGCTTGGCAAGTGTTTTACTCATTGAACCACTTCCCCAGGCCTGCTGATAGCCAATCTTGATTGTCAAGTAGACAGGGTTTAGACTCATGGTGGCCACGTCTGTGAGAGAGTATCTAGATGGGGTTAAATGAGATGGTAAAACCCACCCTGAACGTGGGTGACATCAATTGCCATGGACTGAGCTGAACAAAGCTCTCTTCTCTCTCTGCTTCCTGACACTAGCTCATGATCTCAGGTCATGCCTTCTTCGCCACGATGGACTGTATCTTTCAAACTGCAAGCCACAGCAACCCTATCCCTTCCTTTAAGTGGCCTTTGTCAGGCATTTTTGTCACAGCCATGAGACAGGTAACTAACCCAGCCACTATGGCCACCATGAGGGCTGTCACTGTACCTATTGTCCACCCATCACAACCACCCTGGCCACGGCAAGCCTGACCAAATAGTGGGGTGGCCTTCTGAAGACCCTGTGATGGGATCAGCCAGTGGCAATGCTTTGTGGGGCTGGCAAGGTCTAATGTTCTAATGCAGTGTCCAGGATGGGCAGTTGTCTCCCTAGACAGGATGCTGGGATCCAGGAACCAGGGTGGACATGGCCGTGATACATGGACATGTCCCTTTAACAACTACTGACAAAAATGCTCATTTCTGTCCCTGCTGATCTGGTGGGTTTCTTTCTTTCCTTTCTTTTCCTTCTTTCCCCAACTCCCAATAAGACTCCAGGCTGGCCTCCGACTCACCATGTAGCCAAGGATGACCTTAAACTTCCGATACTCCTGTCTCTACCTCCTGAGTGCTGGGATTATAGGCATAAACTACCATACTTGATTTATTTGATACTAGGGATGGAACCCAGAGTCTCACACATGCTAAGCAAGCTCTCTACCAACTAGGCTACATACTCATCCCGTGACCTAGGGAGTTCCAGCTTTGACACCAAGACATGATGATTTTGTTGTTTGGAGCATAAATGCTTGCCACTCTGGCCCTGAGTCCCCAGCCAAGACAGAAGACCTTTGTGGAAGGGGGATTGATTCCAACCATCAAAGGGATGGCAAGTTGATACTGTCTGTAGGAATGAGAAAGAATGGGTTTGGGGCCAGGTGTGGTGGTTCATGCCTTTAATCCCAGCACTCAGAAGGCAGAAGCAGGTGGATTTCTGTGAGTTTGAAGCCAGCCTAGTCTACAAGTGTGTTCCAGGACAGCCAGGGCTGTTACACAGAGAAACCCTGTCTCAAAAAAACAAAAACAAAAACAAACACAAGAGACCATGCCCGGCATATGAGAGGGCCTCTTGGCCTCTTGGGGCACTTCCATTCTCTGTCACAGCTAATGGGAGACCCCAAGAACCCAATGCAATCAGGGTCCCTAATACCCCAAGCCTTCAGAAATTAAGGCTCGGTCACCTGCCAGGACCAGTGCTTTGGGCAGGGAGGTGTCTGTTGGCAGCAAAGGGAACCCGAATGGACCAGAGAAAGAGCACATCATGAACATACACTACGATCACGTGGCTGACATTATGAGTATGTGTGTTGGGGGGTGCACATGTAGAGGGTGACATCAGGAGCTTTACTCCATCACTCTTCACCTTATTTTTGAGATAGTCTTTCACTGAACCTGGAGCTTACCAATGAGACTGGCTGGCCTGAGAGCCTCAGGGATTCTCCGCCTCCCCCAGCGCTGGGACAACAGCTGCTCACTACCACACCTGCTTTGTTTTTGTTTGTTTGTTTGCTTTCGTTGTTCTGTTTTGAAATTTTACTTACTTTTATTTTATGTGTGTAAGTGTTTTCATGAGTGTATATTTGTGCACCATATGCATGCCGGTGCCTGTGGAGGCCAGGAGAAGGTGTTGGATCCCCTGGAACCAGAGTTACGGATGGTCGTGAGCTTCCTTGTGGATGCTGGGATCGGAACCTGGGTGGTCCTCTGCAAGAGCAGCCAATGCTCTTAACTGCTGAGCCGTCTCTCCAGCCCACACACCCAGTTTTCATACACATTTTGAGGACTGAACTCAGGTCCTCGTGCTTGCATAGTAAGCATTTTACCCAGGAGCCCTCTACCTGGCTGCTTTTTTTTTTTTTAATGTATGTGTGTACATGCCATAGAGTGCATGTGGAGGCCAGAGACGACTTCTGGAAGTCAGTTCTCAATATCATGTGGATTCGGAGATCAAATCCAAGTCATCGGGCTTGGTGACCCCACTGTGCCAGCCCCTAAATATTTTTTATTCACTCTCACATGCCCTTATCAGTAATATAAGATGTGTTCATAGAAGGCTGGAGAGATGGCTCAGTGGGTAGGGGTGAGTGCTGCCAAGCCTGATGACCTGAATTTAGTACTCGGAACCCACCTAGTGGAAGGAGAGAACTGATTCCCGTAAGCTGTCCTCTGACCTCCATGACACAGGTGTGCTCTCCACCCCACAAGATAAACAAAGATAACAGACATATAATGTTTCCTCTTTTCTTTCCCTTTTTCTCTCTCTCTTCCTTCCTTCCTCTCTTCCTCTTTCTTCTTTCTTCCTTCCTTCCTCCCTCTCTCTCTCTCTTTCTTTCTTTCTTTCGATGTGCTCCAAATTGCTAGCTGTATTGTGGTTACAGGACCTGGAAGAATTGTCAGCATCTACCAATGATCTCTGAGGAATGGGCTTACATAGTGTCAGGGGCCTAAAGATGGACTGTGTTATGCTTAGTGGTGGTATGACCCTGATATGGCTTTATTTGGTATGTATGTAAATATGCTTTAAGGAGCTGTGTATGGGAGCTGAGTTGGTAAGTGGTACACTGTGAGGGACCATTTCATAGGCCATCCCAGCAGGCTGAGGCCTGGGGCCTGGTTGTTTATGTGACTTGCTGAGGTGTGGCTGGGAAGGGGTCTGGGGAGAAAGTCCCTCTGAAGAGGTCTTTGAGTTCATCCAAGAAGAATATGACTCTGAGTGGCTCTGGCCTAATCAGGTGAGGTATTTTGGTCTTCTGGGAACTGACCTCAGCCCGGGGTGGGGATGCAGGCCTGTCTGCTTTGGATTAGATTCTCTGCTGTGCCTGGGTGTGGTATGTCCCCACTGGGCTCATGTGCTGGAGAAGGTTTGGTCATCGTTGGGGCAATGCAGGTCACAGGTGGTTCGATCTTTGAAACGAGCTGATGCTTCTCTGCAAGAAGTGTGCTCTCGCTCATTTTTTTTTATTTTTAAGATTTATTTATTTATTAATAAGATTTATTTATTATAAATATAATTAAGATTTATTTATTTATTAAAATTACTATTTTATATTTTTAAGATTTATTTATTTATTAAAATTACTACAAGCTTTTTGCCAAGCTTCATTTTCTATCCATAATTTTTCAATGTCCTCCTTAGTTAAAGGTATGACAATTTCTGCTGGGTCTATTCCTGCTAATTGACAAAGTCTCAATTTTCCTTTCCAAATCAAGTCATAGATTTTTTCCACATAAGTTTTTAATTTTTTATTTGGTTTATTTGGTAAAAATATCCATTCCAATATAATATCTTCCCTTTGCATTAATATTCCTGTTGGGGAATGCCTAGAAGGTAAAATAACCAAAATGCAATCCAGCTTTGGAGCAATACGATCTACGTGCCCTTCATGTACTTTCTTTTCTACCAAGGCCAATTCTTTCTCAGCTTCAGGTGATAATTCTCTTGGACTATTTAAGTCCTTGTCACCTTCTAAGGTTTTAAACAAATTATTTAGTTCATCATTTTTTGGGAGTCTGAGTGAGTGAGCCATCAATAAGCCTGGCATTTCCTGTGACTTGCTCCCATTTCCTGCTTCCTCATGTGACACTGCCCTCAGAATCCCACACTGTGGTGCCAGTCTCCATGAGGCCCTCACAAGAACCAAACAGAAACTGGTGACAAATTCTTGACTTTCCAGCCACTGGAGGCTTAAAGTGCCTCTATCTTTTATTTTTTTTTTTATTTTTAAGATTGATTGATTTATTATGTATACAGTGTTCTGTCTGCATGTATGTCTGCAGGTCAGAAGAGGGAGCCAGATCTCATTATAGATGGTTGGGAGCCACCATGTGGGTGCTGGGAATTGAACTCAGGACCTCTGGAAGAACAGCCAGTGCTCTTAACTGCTGAGCCATCTCTCCAGCCCACCTCTATCTTTTACAAAGTACTTGGCCTAAGGTATTTTGTTATAGCTACAGAGTGTGCGCTAAGATAATGGCTTCACCAGACCCACTTTAGTAAGCCAAATTTCTTATAATATCTATAATCTATGTATGTGTACAGATCAACATGATATCTATAACTATTCTTCTTCCTATCCATCTATCTATCTATCTATCTATCTATCTATCTATCTATCTATCTATATATCCATATATCCTCTATCCATGCATCGATTTATCTTGCTGTTCATCCATCCATCCTTCATCCATTTATCCATCATCTAACCACTCATGCATCCCCACATCCATCAGCCATGCATCTATCCATATATCCATCCATCCTCCATCTATCTATACACCCTTCATCCATCAGTCATGCCTCTATCCATACATTCTCCATTCATGCATGCATCCATCTATCCATACATCCTCTATTCATGCATGCATCCATCTATCCATACATCCTCCATTCATGCATGCATCCATCTATCCATACATCCTCCATTCATGCATGCATCCATCTATCCATACATTCTCCATTCATGCACTCATCCATCTATCCATACATCCTCCATTCATTCATCCATCCAATCCACTATTCATCCATCCATCCTTCATCCATCTATCCATCATCTAACCCTCATCCAACCAACCCATTCCTCAGTCATCTTTCTATCCATCCATCTAGCCATTATCTATCTATCCATCATCTTCTATTTATTCATCTATACATCCATTCATGCATCCATTCATCCTTCATCATTCACCTAATACCCCTTCCAACTGTTCATCCATCATCTATCTACAATCATACATCCATATAGCCTCCATTCATCCATCATCTATATATCCCTCTATCCATCTGCCTATCCATCCACCCCATCCAATTTATGATCTATTTAATCTACCTATCCATTCACCCACCCACCTATCATTTAGCTATCTGTCCCTTTATCCACTCTCCCACTCATCCATCTATCGTTTATCTATTCATCTATCTTTTCAGATACCTATTATTTATTTATTTTTGTTGTTGTTGTTTGTTTGTTTGTTTGTTTTTTCAAGACAAGGTTTCGGGGCTGGAGAGATGACTCAGAGGTTAAGAACACTGGCTGTTCTTCCAGAAGTCCTGAGTTCAATTCCCAGCACCCACATGGTGCCTTATAGCCATCTGTAATGAGATCTGGCTCCCTCTTCTGGCCTGCAGGGATACATGCAAACAGAACACTGTATACATAATAAGTAAATAAATCTTAAAAAAAAAAAAAAAAAAAAGACAAGGTTTCTCTGCAGCCTTGGCTGTCCTGGAACTCATTCTGTAGACCAGGGTGGACTTGAACTCACAAAGATCCGCCTGTCTCTGCCTCCCGAGTGCTGGGATTAAAGGCGTGCGCCACCACCGCCCGGCTATTTATTTGGTTTTTATTAAGACAAAGTTTAGTTATGCATCCCAGGCTGGTCTAGGGTATTAGCAATCCTATCTCAGCTTCCCAAATGCTAAGATTATAGGTGTGAGTCATCATACCTGGCCTTCTATCATCCATCCATCCCTCAGTCCATCCATCCATCTATCTATCTATCTATCTATCTATCTATCTATCTATCTATCTATCTATCTAATTATCTGTCAATCAATCATTTATCTATCTTCTATCCATCATCCATCTATCTCTCTTTCAATCATCTATCTATCATCTTCCTTCCTTCCTTCCTTTCTTCTGTCTAGCATTTCCTGACTCTCTTTCTTTAACTGAACCCTGGTTGATATAGCCTCCACCACCAAGAGCACCATAACTGCAGCCTTTACAGTTCAAGTCAGCATTGATACCTGAGCACCGCTCACTACATATCCCTGTCTGCCAGGGCCCTTCCGCTACCATGTCTACTGTCATCTTTGGGGGCTGGCACTGAAGTGACTCCACCCCTCTGCACAGGAGCAGGTGTTCTTCATAACCCAACATGGGGCTCAGCCAGCAGAACTCTACCAAGAACGTTTCCGAGCCAGAAACAGAACTACTGCAAACAAGCAGCTGCACAAAATGCTACCTCACAGGTGTCCCCAGTTCCCAGGACGGTGCTAACGGACACTACAGTTTGCTGCAGTTGCAGTTGCTTTGAGGCCTGCACTGGGCACTGTCCTTCAAGCATGCACCAAGTCCCCAAGCAGGCCAGAGATAGGGGCAGGGCTGAACCCGAACCCGTCCCACCCCAGACCTGCTCTGCAAGTCCAATTGCACAGTAGGTTGGGACAGCTCTTTAGTTTGGGGAAACAGGCTCAGGGATGTTTTAGGTCTCTGCCCCAGATCACACAGTGGAACTGAGAAGCAGCGATTTGAACTTCCTATCCAAACCTCATTGCCTGCAGCCAGGAACAGTTTGCTTTGAAGAACAAAAGAGAAGGAAACTCTACAACCATGGCCTGTCTCTGTGGATGGCCACTAGCAAAGATCACATGACACAGTGCAGAAGTGAACATCGGGTGTAATCGTTACCCTAGCCACCTAACCCTGACTGAGTCTCTTAGTCTCCATGACAACCTGAGGCTCCTGCTGCCCCAAAGACTGACTGGAGGCTGTGTGGCCAGTCATGGCCCTGAGGAAGACAGTGTCACTTACTCACCAGAGTCTGTGAAAGTAGGGACACCCCTGACTCTGATACTTGGATCCTGAGCACCCTCTGCTGTTGTCTCCAGCTGGAAGTTGTCAAAGCTGAAACTTGTCACCACACTCTGGCCAGATGTGGCTGCCACACAGGGCTCCTTGAGGCGCTGGCTTCCAATGGAGCCCATTGCAGTTCACACTGTGAGGAAAGAAGATGAGGCAGAAAAAGTGGTAAGGGGAGGGGACACCATGCTCCCACAGCTAAGTCATCAGGCTGCATGCCCGAGGGTCGTCCTGTCCATTTATTCCTTACCCATTTGTTTACTTGTTTTAACATATTTTGCTGAACTGGGGATGAAGCTCAGAGACTCATACATGCTATGCAGGTGCTCTACAGTTAAGCCACGCCACCAGTCCCTCACTGGGGGATTCTAGGCAGGTGCTCTACCACTGAGATACATCTGCTTTGTTTTGAGACAGGATTTTCTCTGCATCCCAGGCTGGCCTAGAACTTGTGATCCTCATGCTTCAGCCTCCCAGAGCTGGGACTACAGGAATGTCCTACCACATCTGTCTTTATTTCTCCCATCATTTAAAAATATATTTTTAAAAATTATCTTATTATTTTAATTATATGTGTGTCTGTGTCCATGAGTGCTGGTTCCTGAGGAACTCAAAGGGCTCAGATCCCCCTTAGAACTGGAGTTATGAACCATATTGAGCCACCTGACTTGGGTGTTGGGAACCAAACTTGGTTCCTCTGCCAAAACAGTACATGCTCCTAACGGCTGAGACATCTTTCCAGCCCTGTTTCTCCTTTGATGTTTCATCATGAAGGATACAAGCTCAGCAGTGAGGTGATGTGACCTTGCCTGTTGCTATGGAAACTGGGTGGTAAGAGCAGAGACTACAGCCCAGGAGCTCAGTTCAGAGGTCTTTGTCCTAAGAGCAGCTAGGTGGCCTTCGCGCAGGAGAAAACCCTGGGCAAAGGAGACATACATAGACAGAGTGGAAAAATAAATTGGAGTTGGAATGCCAGGACCCAGTGAGCAATCAGAAACAACGGGTGACATTACAGAGACTGTTCACCAGCGAGAGCTGCAATGTCTCACTCATCCTTTCCCTCTGAGAGGAAGGTGCTGCTACCCGTTCCTCAGCTAGCCGACAGAAGGGAGCGATGCAGGGTAACAATACTCACTCTGCTCTCGTGGGCAGAAAGTAGGAGAGTCCAGAATCCAACCCAGGTTTGTGTGATAATGTCTTTCTGGGACACTGAACCATAGCTACAGCTCCCCCAGGAGATTCTAGGCAGGTACTCTGCAGCTGCGCCAGGACCCCAGCCCCTCACTGGGAGGTTTCAAGCGGGTGATCTACCACTGAGCCACACCCACTGCACTCTTTCTTGCCTCATTGTTTCTTGTTTCAGTTCAGATCTGCAGTCCTGTCCTTATCTTTGGAGAAAAGGGAACCCATGGCTGGGAAAAGCCCCGATACCTAGGTAACCTTGTGTACATGGAGTGTCTAGCTTTTCTCAGGTGAATTTTAAAACACTGTTGAAAATTTGATCTGAAAACAAAAAGATCCATACTCTTTCTAGAGCATGAGACATACACAGAGATGGGAACATCGCAGTGCTGGTCAGATCATGGACATAGACAGCTTCTCTTTCTCAGCAAGCACACATGAGAGAGGCCATGGAAGAAGCCGAGGCCCCCATCCCTAAGGGACCCCGCCTTTTGGAACTACATCAAGTATTTCTGTACCTGTGACACCAGCATGCCTTGTGCCATAGCCATCTGTTTTCATTTCTTTGCCAGGTCATTTCTGCAGCTCTTCTGCCTCAGTTTACCTCTTTCCCAGAGTCCAAGGTTGGTTCTTCCCACCAGTTACCAAATCCTCTTCCTGAATATATCTTTTCTCCATTCTCTCTCAACAGAGTTGTGTTAGGGTCAAGGGATCAAGACTGGGGTCTCCTTGGGGCCTTGGAACCCAAAGCATACTTAAGTTCTGGGGACCAAGGAACTTCCCATATTTGTGGCTGACCCAGAGGTGACTAGTACTCATGAACAAGAGGCTGGGAACTTCTTCTGGGAGATGGGAAGCCAGGTGAACCTCCCCTCCAGGCTCAAGACTTTCCTAAGGCGCCCCTCTCCAGCCACTCTGGTCCTAGTAACAGCATCTGGAATTGGGAGAGACTTAGAAAGGCTTAGGGCATAGCTGGCCTGGGCTTGAATGACAGTGGAGTTGGGTACAATCCTGGTCTTGTTTGTCACTTGCATACACTTGTCTGATCTCCAAAGAGGTGGGTTGGTGAAAGGCTTAAAGTTACCCAATCGGACTCCAGCCCACCAACCCTCCCTCACTAAACAGGAGGGGCTGGGTAAGGGGCTACTGTTGAGATACTATTCACAGTGTCCATGGACCCACTAGGTATAGAGGCTCAGTCCTGGAGGACACCCAGGATCCAAAAAGCCTGGCTCATGTTCAGTAGGGGCTCCTATGATGCAGTCTTCCAGACAAGCCGGACCAGCGTGAGAGGTTTCTGCCTGGCTGAGGCCACACCATCCGGGAAGGCGGATGTGTTCGGCATCCTGCCAGGCTGCTTGCTCTGGCTCAGTCAGCGTGGCGGGCAGCTGCCACCCACACTGTCCCCACGGCTTTCATCGCTCTCTTCTCCCAGCCCCCCACATTGAACATCCAGGGTCTCGGATCTTCCCTCGTATATTCACTTCAATTAAATTTTAAGGGCATACAGATAGACATGGGAAAGGAAGCTTTTCTCTACATGCCTGACTCGGGACCCCTTCGTGCTTGTCACAAAGGCATCGGAGATGACACAGGTCATTTCTTTAGCCTTCAGACCATCCTTGGCACCAGTTCACCCGCCTGGAGAGTGACAGAGTACTTCACAGAGAGGGACTGGGTGGTGGGTAGGAAAAGCTTAGCTGCTCACACTTGGTGTTTTAATGCTGATCCAAGCTGCCCCTTAGCACCGAGTGGGCCAAAGAGGGCTCCTAGCTCTCAGCAGTTCTGTCAAACTAGGCACACAGCGCCAGTCTGCAGAAGAGATGACCAAGGAGGAGAAGTCAAACCCACAGCCAGATAGCTCCAACAGGACCCTGACCTGGCTGACCACCACCGGCCCCTCCCAGTTGCTGTAGGGATTGTCTCCCAAGCTGCTTGCCCCACACCTGAAGCCAGCAGAAGGGGCAGGGAAACTAAATTTCACTTGAAAAGCCAACCTGCTCAACCTCATCAGGCCTTGAACTTCTGGCTCCAACCACAACTCCTCCTTACTAAATGCCCTTGGATGCCCCTGTCCCGTGCCCTGACATCATTTATGGAGTCTCCCTGCGCATCCTAAGACTCCACTCCTCGCTGTAGGGTTGTGGGTTTTGAGTCCCTTGGGAGAATCTCCTCTTTGAGAGCCAGGGGACAGATGAATGTAACATCAGTGCCAGACTGATCAAGGCCTGGGATGTCCTCAGGGCTGAGGGGCAGCTTGGGCCGATCTCCCTTCATGTTTTAGGTTTCTGCACAGTCCCGATACTGGCAGATCCTGATGTTTCTTCCGCAGGCAGCCCCAGCAGAACCAAAGTTGGACCCCGGGCCCACACGGCCCCCAGCAAAGGGGAGACCTCTGGTGCAACTCGGAGGTCGTGACCCAGTGCCCAGGCCCCACCTCTGCCCTAACCTTTCCCAAGAACTAGAACTAGACTGGCTGTACCGAAAGGATAGATGAAAGGAGGTGGGTCCGGAAGGAACTTCAGGTGCAAGGACCCCTGGGGTGTGACCAAAAGAGGAGGTAGTGCCACGACCCGGCTTGGCCAAGGCCACTTGCGTTTGTCCCCTTCTAGAGCTTGCGTCCTGCGCTCCCAGCTGAGATGCAGGGGGTCTGGCACTGGGCGAGAGAACCCCTCTTCCCAGGACAAGGAGTGCGGCAGAGATCCGGCTCCTGGGAGGGCGGGAGGAGAGGCGGCGCGACTGGGGCTGCGCGCCGCAGACAAAGGCTCCGACAGGTCCCTGCCGGCGTCTCCCCGCCACCTCCTTGGCGACACTCACCTCGGCCGGCCCCAGGCTGGGATCCTCGGTGGCTGCCAGCCGCCCGCGCCCGGACCCTGCGCGCTGCGCCCCGCTCGTGGAGGCTTGGGCCGGGCGCGGCGGGCGTCCTCCTGGGTGTCCCGGTCCACGGGCCCGGGTCCGGGAGCGCGTGCTGGGGGGGGGGGCACAGCAGCTGCAGCGAGCAAGCCCAGCCCGCGCCCCGCCCGTCCACATGGCCCCGCCCCCACAGCTCCGCCCACCATATGGCTCCGCCCAAGTCCCGCCTCCAGCAATGCTTCCCACCACCAGACGCCCCGCCCCATCCTTGTGACCCCGCCCCATCACACTTCTCCTACTCCACATGACTCCGCCCAAGTCCCACCTCCAGAGGAGCCTGCCGCTACCCAGACACACCTCCCTGTCTCCAAGCCCGCGCTCCACCCAATATGAATCTGCCCCTAACCCCCACTTTACCTTCTATTCACTCCGCCCCTAGCCCTACCCTGTCCTTCCTATATTCCCCGCCCCATTTTCTTTAACCATGCTCCACCCACTCTACATGGCCCCGCCCCTAGCTCCGCCTCTAAACTGCTCATACTTAACGCTCCCACTTCCCTTGGCTGTCTTCACCCTTGTTCCTTCTGTGCCCTTGGCCGGCCCCAACCCAGATCCCGTCCCCTATCCCTGCCTTCCACCTCTGCCTGCCTACCTAGCTCCGCCCCTATTTTTTTCCCACACCCTTTGTCCTCCCCCACTCCCTTGATTCCTGCCTGGCTCCACCTTCCTACTTCATTTGCCTAGTCCCACCCTCGTCATTCACACAGGTTCCACTCCCTTCTCTGGGCCCACTTTGTCACACCTACCTGGTCTCACCTTCAGGCTTTATATATGACCTGTCCCCCCTACCTGCTAGCTCTGCTCCATCACTTCCCATACGCCCCGCCCCTCGTGACCCCTCCCACAGCCTTCGCACGTGCTCTGCCTCTCTGCCCCGCCTCCCTTCCCCTCCCATGATGGGCTGTCCCCCACCAGCACACACACACACACACACACACACACACACACACACACACACACACACACACACAGAGCATGGGCCCATCATTATCCTGTACCACAGCTTTCAGTGGAAGTGCTGTCCTCTACCCACTCACACCCCACTTGGCTCTGCCTGGCTTCCTTCTCTACACCCCCATATCTGACAGCCTAGCACAAAAGGTGGGCTTAGTGTCCTAGCTGGCCTTCTTCACTGCCCAACCCCTCCAACCTTCGTGCCTGGGCTTAGTCTCCTGGAGCTTAAGCTTGCTATTTGTGATGTAGACCTGGGGCCTGCTCTGATTGCTGCAAAAGGGTCTGTTCTGACCCTGGCCCTGGCCATGTGCCCTCTGGGGGCCAGTAAAGATGAGGCCAGGAATTAGTGGGAACAGTGTCCTAAGTCTTTACACCCTGTGACCTGTCTGTAGGGACTGGGGGCTGTCAGGACCAAGGCAAAGAGAGATGCCCTTGCTGGATGCTCTCCCCTTGCCTGCATCCCCACTTCATTCTGGAAGTCTGTTTGGTTTGGCCCGTGGCTGGGGTCTTTCTTGTCATCTTGCCAGCCTCCCTCAAAGAGTTCTTGGGAGTGTTTTGTTGTTGTTGTTTGTTTGATAGCCTTTCCTTCTGTATGTAGTCCAGGTTGGCCTGGAACTCAGGATCCTTGTGCTGGGATGTCAGGAGTGCATCACCAGACCTGGCTCAATGGAGTGTCATATGTACACTCAAGGACAGCATGTGTCCCCATGGCCTGTTGGAGGTTCTGGTGAATTATAATAATCTCAGTATGAAAGACCCCAAGGCTTCACACGGTCCAAAGCTTCGGCAGTATGGATACAGCTCAACTATGGCACATGTCTGTTATCCCCCCACTTGGGAGGTGGTGACAGGAGGACCAGAGGTTCAAGGGCCAGCCTGGGCTACATGAAGTCCTACCCCACCCTATTCCCCAATTAAAACTTTGCGAAGGCATCCTGGAGTACAGGAAGCCACTCCTATTGTCCTGGGTATGGGAAACTTTCAAGCAGTGTTCTCTCCACAAAAAGAAGGGCTAGTGACAGGTATCATGTTCCATCAAATCCCCAAGATGAAACAAGACAGAGTGATGGAGTGATGCAGCACATGACTCTGGGGAAGGAGACGAGCAGCTGTCTAGGTGGCTAGCAAAGAGCACTCTGGGAAAATGGCATTTGAGTTGAGGTATTTGAGTGACTGATGGAAAGGGCCCTAGGGTAATGTGTTGGGGAGGTTTGTGGCCAGGGTGTTTTAGGCAAGAGAAATAGCAAGAACACAATGCAGAGGATGAGAGAGTTGATTACTCTCAAGTTAGGAGGGGAGGAGCTGGGTGTGGTGCGTCCCAGCACTTGGGAGGCTGAGGCTGACACAAGATTACCATGAATCCCAGGCCAGCCTGAGCTACAGAAACCTTGCCCTTACCCCTACTCCATAAAGACAATATATATGGAACTGAGGAGGGAGAGAAGGAGGAGAAGTGAAGAGGGGAGGGCAAGAGAGAGGGAGGAAAAATGAGGGGAGGTGGGGTCAGGAACTGAAATCAGACAAGGCCAGGAAGCAGTTGGAGCTTGGGGAGACATTTTGTCATTGGAGGGGAGGAGAACAGATCCAGACTTTGACATCCTTGTCTTCCTGAGAGAATGAATCAGGAGGATCAAAAGTTAAGGCTAGCCTGGTTGTAGAGTGAGCTGGAAGCCAACCTAAGCAACTTAGTGGGAATCTGTCTTAAAATGAAAGGTAAGAAGAGGGCTGAGTGTTTGACTCAGTGGTAGAGCACCTGCCTAGAATCCCCCAGTGAGGGGCTGGGGTGCGGCTCCATGGTAGAGCATCTGCCTAGAATCCTTCAGTGAGGGGCTGGAGTGTGGCTCAGTGTAGAGCACCTGCCTAGAATCCCTCAGTGAGGGGCTGGGGTATGGCTCAGTGGTAGAGCACCTGTCTAGAATCCCCCAGTGAGGGGCTAGGGCGTGGCTCAGTGGTAGAGCTCCTGCCTAGAATCCCCCAGTGAGGGGCTGGGGTGTGGCTCAGTGGTAGAGCACCTGGCTAGAATCCCCCAGTGAGGGGCTGGGGTGTGGCTAAGTGGTAGAGCACCTGCTTAGCATAAGGGTCTAAGTACCATCCCCAGTAGTACAAATTAAATAAGTAAATAAATAGTTCCCTTGCTGGTTCAAGTGTCAATTGGAATAACTCTTCTGGAAAGTACATTGGCCTAAAAACCATGCCTACCCTTTGGTCCAGAAAATCTAATGCAAGGAATTAGTTCTAAATATAGAAAGGCTTTGCATCCTAAGATGCTGGTGGCAATAGCAAGCACTGCGGGTGGCCACGTAGCTGAAGAAGGTGCAGACGTCATGTGCCTCCCAGCAGGAAACAATGTGAATGCTGTATTGAAAAACCCAAGAAAATCAGTGGAATCATGCGTGAACCCTACAGAGAACTCTTAAGTCCCCGAGATATGTAGATTGTTAGAAAGGATTTAGAATAACATGGGAAGCCAGTAGTGTGAGAGTGTTAAGCGACACAGAAATAGGAAGTGGGATGGAATCCAAAAGATAACTTCCACTCTCTCGGTATAGAAAAACCAGAGGAGTCGGGTAAAATGGCTTTCTGGGAAATGATAAATGAGCAGAAATCTGCCAAGAGAAGAGAAAGGGGGCTGGGGAGAGGCAAAGTCTGCAAAGTACTTGCTGTGCAAGCATGAGGACCAGAGTTAAAGTCCCCGGAGACCACATAAAAAATGTTGACGTGTGCCTGCAATCCCAGCGCTGGGGAGGCACAGACAAGAGAGTCCCTGGGGCTCTTTCTCCAGCCACTCCAGCCAAATCATCTAGCTCCAGGTTCAGTGAGAGACTGTCTCAACAAACACGCTGGGGTCAACAAGATGGTTCTGCAACACACACACACACACACACACACACACACACACACACACACACACACACACACACACACAAACCCCAAAAGCAAGCAACTTATGTAGAACAAGGCCTGGAGTAGAGACAGGAGTATCATAAAGAATTCTTGTTTCTCTACTCTCACACACTGGGCATCAATGGCTTCAAATAATAATAATAATAATAATAATAATAATAATAATAATAATAATAATAATAATAATCCTATGAGAGTTTTAAAGGTGATGGAACCCCAATGTTATGTAAAAGCAAAAGGAGAAAGAGAGAGAGAGAGAGATTCTTCAACCCAATGAAGATTACCCCAAGAAAATAAGAGCCATTTCATCTTTGAATAGTAGAAAAAAAAAAGTCTAAACATAGCTACAAGAATTAAGGGAATTTCAGAAAATAGGAATATGCTACACTGCAAATGACAGAATGTTGTTTACTTTTTAAAAATCTTATCCTTGTGTTTCATCTGCATATGTATATGCACATCAGTGTGTACCTACTGCCCGAGGAGGCCAGAAGAAGGTGTCAGGTCCAGGCCCCCTGAAACTGGAATTACAGCTGTGACTCACTATATGGGTGTCGAGGGTGGAATTCAGGGTCCTCTGCAACAACAAGTGCTCTTAACCGCTGAGCCATCTTGCCAGCCACAAGATTTTCTTTCTGTTTTTAGGGGTGTGTGTGTGTGTGTGTGTGTGTGTGTGTGTGTGTGTGTGTGTGTGCGTGCGCGCGCACGTGCATGTGCATACACGCACTGAAGATAGGACTCATGGCTTCACATGTGCTAAGCAAGTGTTCTACCACTGAGCCACACTCCCAGTAATTCATCACTGACCTACGGGAAGAGGCAAAAATCATACGATTATCTACTTAGTTGCTAAAAAGAAAAGAAAAAAAACTTTGATTAAATGTAATATGGCTGGCGATGTAATTAAGTTTGTTGAATAGTTGCTTAGCGTGTGTGAG